GACAAGGGGAGGGAAGAGGGAAGAAATAAGGGAGACACTGGGGAATGATATCGACCCATGTTGTTATATATGAATGTATGAATGTGTAACAATGAACCCATATATAATTATAAAGCACCAATTAAAAATGGGAAAAACTTTCAATCTTCTAAGGGTTCAGGGAAGCACAGGGACCTCTGGGAAGAGCACTAAACCATCAATGACATCAATGGCGTCTGAATCATGATGCTGATTAGAAGACAGCAAAGAAGCTCGAGGAAGAATACAGACAGAAGGAACAGCCTGTGCCCGAGTAGACAGGTGGAAGTCTTGTGCCCTCGGGAGCTGCGCAGAGGCTGGGGTAGCTCAGTGGTAGAGCTCCCCCTGGGTTCAATCCCCAGAACCACAATAAATAATAAGATAGGACATTTGTCATTGGATCAAGGGCAAGATGGGCTAGATCGGGAAGGAGTTTGTGTCCTGCAGAAAAACAGAGACTTGATCCTGGGGGTAAGGGTCCTGTCTGCCTTCATTTCCCCTTGGCAATTAATCCTCATTTGCACTAGGAACAGAAATTCTCCACTCTCTGGAGGTGAGCCTAAGACCTGCCTCCAGAAAGTAGATTACAGATCGTAGAAGCAGGGACTTTGATATCATAAAAACCTAGATTATTATTATTTTTTACAGTATTGGAGATTAAACCCAGGGTCTTCCACATGCTAGGCAAGTGTTCTACCACTGAGCTACACCCAGCCCTGTTTAAATTTTTTTTTTTTTTTTTGGTGAGACAGAGTTTCACTGAATTGCCCAGACTGGGCTCAAACTCTCCATCCTCCTGCCTCAGTTTCCAATTAGCTGGTATTATGGGTCTGTGCTGTGTGCATGGATGATAAACCTGGATTCTAATCAGTCCTTGTCACACAGTGGTCACATGACTTTAGGCATCAGTAAACAGAATTACTAACACCTATTTGACCCAGCAGATGTTTTTATATGCCTACTACATACCAGATGTGAGAACAATAACACTTATAAGCTAAGACCTACTGTAGTAATCCAGGCAGGAGATGACAATGGCTTGGATCAGGATGGTAGCAGTGGAATGATGAGGAGTGTGATGTATTTGTGATAGACTCTGGAAGTACAGCCAGCAGATTTCCTGATGTGGGGAAAGAAAAACATCAAGAATGCTGACCTGAACACTGGAAAGTGGTTAGAGATGAGAAAGACATGGGTGTGTGCATATGGGTATGCAGGTGTGGTTTATGTGGTTAAGGGAGAGAAGTCAGGAATTCAGATTTGGATACATTAAGTTTCAGACACCTATTGGAAATGTCAAGGAGGAAGTTGGATATAGGAGTCTGGAGTTCAAGGAGAGGGTTTAGGCTAGAGCTATAAGTTTGGGGATCATCAGGATTTCCGTGGTATTTAAAGTCACAGGACTGCTCTTTCGGTTATCTTTTCATGCCTCCATAATGGTGCGCATGAATGTCCTGGCTGGTGCTCTCAAGAGCATCAATGGGGCTGGGGTTGTGGCTCAGTGGTAGAGTGCTCCTCCTAGCATGCACAAGGCACCGGGTTCAATCCTCAGCACCACATAAATGTAAAATAAAGATATTGAATCCACCTAAAGCTTAAGAATAAATATTTTAAAAAGAGCATCAGTGATGTCAAAAAGAGAGGCAAATGCCAGGTCTTTATTAGTCTGTGCTCCAAAGTCATCGTCCAGTTTCTGTGAATTTGAAAAACCTGCTGATCACGGAGTTGGAAAAATTGTTGTCAACCTCACAGAAAGGTTAAACAAGCGCGGAGTGATCAGCCCGAGATTTGATGTACATCAAAGACCTAGAAAAGTGGCAGAATAATCTGCTGCCATCCCCATCAGTTTGGTTTCATTGTGTTGACAACCTCAGCTGGCATCGTGGACCATGAAAGCGAGGCGAAAAGACACAGGAGGAAAAGTCCTGGGGGTCTTTTTCTAGGAATGTAAAACATACATATGATAAAATGCCTCAATGAAAAAAAATAAAGTCATGAGGCTGAATAAGTTTATCAAGGGCATGAGCTTAGAGAGTGGAGTGGAAATCTGTGAAGTAGCTCAGAGCTCAATTTTCATGCTCCCCACATTCCAGTAATGTCTGAATTCTCCTCTTGACACAGAGCAGTTTGTCAATGACCCAAATCAATCTCAATAATTCAGTGATACCAGATTAGAGCTTACCTAGAATACTTAAGTCCCAGGGTTCAAATGCCAACACCCCAAAAGAAAGAGGGTGGGGAGAGAGTGGAGCAGAGATGGCCAAGGACTTAAATATCAAGAAATCAGAAAGACACAGGAGAACCAACAAAAGAGATCAGCAAGAAGATCAAGACCATATGATGTCCCGGAGGCCAGGTGATGAAAGTATAGTGTGTGGAGAAGCTGCTGGAAGGCAAAGCAAGAGCCTTGACCATGAGTCAGCAATGGGGAGGTCATTCATGGCCTTAACAGAGCAGTTTCAGTAGTTAGGGGAGCAAAGGCTGCTCATAGGAGTTTAAGAGAATATTGGCATACAAGCATCAGCCTCCATTCCTCTTTGCCTACTTCCCTGTTCCCCGACCCAAGCTGTGATGCCTAGCTTCCTCAGGATCTCCACACTGCTCCCCCCTGCTGTCCTTCCTTGCCATCATAACATTTCTTTACTTAAAACCCAGGAAGGAGCTGGGTGCAACAATGCACACCTAAATCCCAGCTCTAGGGAGGTTAAGCCAGGAGGATTGCAAGTTCAAGGCCAGTCTGGGGGCTGGGGATGTGGCTCAAGCAGTAGCGCGCTCGCCTGGCATGCGTGCAGCCCGGGTTCGATCCTCAGCACCACATACTAACAAAGATGTTGTGTCCGGCGAAAACTAAAAAATAAATATTAAAAGTTCTTTCTTAAAAAAAAAAAAAAAAAAAAAAAAGGCCAGTCTGGGCAACTTAGCAAGAAGACCATGTCTCAAAACAAAATAGAATAAAAAGGTCTGGGGATGTAGCTAGTGGTAGAATGCCCCTGAGTTCAATTCCCAGTACCACAAAAACGAAAACAACACAACCCTGGGTGGTTTTGATTTCACCTAGAAACTCCCTTGAATTCCTGCTGCTGTTTCCTGTGGCTTCACCCAGAAAGGACTCCCTGGGCCGCTCTGAGCTTAATTTTCAGGCTCCCCACATTCCAGTACTGTCTGAATTCTCCTCTTGACACAGAGCAGTTTGTCAATGACCCAAATCAAGCTTGATGATCCAGTGATATCAGTGAACCATTGTTCAAGTCATTGTTCTTGATTCGTGTAATCCATAACTGTATGCAGAAATGAAAAGAAGGGGGCTGCCTGTTTCTAAAACTAGGGAAGCAATTTATCAGAACCAAGACTGAATTTGGGTTTTTCACCACTCCCAACCAATGTTCTTTACCATGCGGGCCTCCCTGTTTTTGTTCCAGACGACCTCAGTCTCCCCAACTAAACCTAAATGGGTTTCTATGTTGAATCTCATTTGATCTCTCATCCACCCCAGTGAATGATGAGACAGTTGAGGGGTGAAAGGCATCAGTCAGAACCCAGAAAGAACGAGGGTGTGGGCGAGGGAACAGGGCAGGGTAAAGGGAGCAGCAGGCTATACAGCCCCTATGTGGTACACACACGTGATAGTTGACCGGAGTCCTTGCTTCCCCAATGTTGAAGAATAACACCAGAGAAGCACGCCGAGGCAAGGTCAGAGTGGAAAATTAGAAGTTTATTAAAGGACAGCAGAAATGACTTCTCCCGGAGGAAGAAGGGGACCCAAGAGGTGGAATCCGTTGAAGGGCAACTGTGTTCCCCTTTTTATAGTTTTTGGTGATGGCATGTAGGTCCGAAGGGTTGGGACACAGGTGGGCCAAAGAAGTAATCTGGGCAGGAAGGACTTCTGAGGCAGCCACTTCAAGTGTTCTGTTCATTAACACTTCTTTGGGATGGGCTATCTTCAAATCTGCTGGGGCTGTTCATTAACATTTCTTTGGGATGGGCTGTCTTTAAATCTGTTGGGGGCTGTTTCCTGGACTTCATTAACATTTCAAGAGTTGCTCAACTTTTCCGGGAATTCATTCTCATGGCCTCCATTTTAGATTTCACTCCATATTAGACCCGATTTACCTAACTACACTGACTACCTAATTTTAAATCTGGCTTCAATACGTTCTTTATTTGAAACATCACAACTACATGGGCATCAAGCTTTTACAGCTAAGAAAACTGGTTTGGATAAAAGAAGTAGTCTTCCCAAAGTCGCACAGCTAGCCAACGGCGCCGGGTGACACAGTGCCCCGAGGAGGCCCTGGTTAGCAGGTTGGCGCCCTGGCCAGGCTCAGAACTTAGTAGAGCGCGAAGTGAGGATCCCAGGACGCTTGGACCCAGAGGTGCTGGGGTAGACCGGAGGCTGGGGGTGAGCCAGAGGGGCGAGGTCATGGGGGACTGGAAACGGGGGAAGAGGCTATGGACACTAAGGAGAGACGCAGGGATAGGGCAACCAGAGCCGTGGAAGGGAAGGAGGACTTGGGGGACCGGAGAGCGGGACAAACCGCGAGCGAGCCCTGCGGGGACAAGTAGGGAGACTTGGGCCGCAGCTGCGAGGAGGCCGGGGGCGGGGCGGGGCGGGA